GGTTGAGAGCGTGGAGAGAGTTGCGTTTTAGGTTAAGTTGTATGTAGAGAATGTTTAGTTGTAAGGATTTTTGTAAATATAGGTTAAGATTATTATGTATGTACTTGGGAGTTTCGAACCCTACCTATTGTAGGGAGAGTAAATAAATAAACTAATAAAAAATAATTAAATTATAAATTGTTTTAATTAGAAAGAAAATATTTTGAATTTAATAATATAATATATATTCTAACTTTATACTTTTAAAAAGTATATATACAACAAAATTAGTACAAATAGTATTAGAAGTAGAGTTTTGAAAAGGAAATATCCAAGGAATAGCAGCATCGGAGACGGCTGAAGGCCGTCGAATATATTATTTATATAAAATAATATTGATTTATGTTCTTTTATATTTTTTTTCCATTAAAAAAGTAATATTTATTATAAAATATTTATGTATATTTATTATTATTATAATAATAAAAAGTTTGAAAAGAAGTAATTTTTTAAATTTATATTTTTAATATATATTATTTATTATTACAAATATACATATACATATTTTTTTTTGTAATAAAATATATTATATAATAAGTAAAGAAAATTGAATATTTAAAATATTTTGTTCTTTCATAATGTTTTTTTTTAATTAAAAAAAAATTATTGTATGCAAATGCAAATTATATTTTTATATTTAAAAAAAATACATTTTATTTTATTTTTTAAAAATAATTGCAAGTTAAAAAAAATTATTTCAATATATATATATTTTTTTTACAAAGGGTTAAAGTCAGAATGGGAAACTGGGGAAAGGAAAGCGTAGTGGATTTTGAAAACAGGATGCAAGAGATGGAGGAAAGATTTAAAGCAGAAGCAGGGGTAAATGAAAGAATTGAGAGATTAAGATGCGTGATGGAGGAGGTGAAGGGGGGCATAGAGGAAGAAGAGAACAGAACGAGGAGGAGCAGAAAGGGTTGGTGGGATGAAGATTGTGTCAAAAGTAGGGAAAATTTGAGGAAAACTGTAAAGGACTGGAGGGGGGGTAGAATTAGAAAGGAAGAATATAATAGGATTCATAGGGAACATGGGAAGTTAATAAGAGGAAAAAGGGAGGAGGGTAGGATAAGATTTATGAAGGAAGTGGAAGCGGCAATTAAAGAGGGCAAGGAGTGGGATATAATAAACAGGGAAAGGAAAAGAAGACGAGGTTTGAACAGAGAGATAGAAATGGGCACATGGACGAATTATTTTAAGGGTCTAAGTGGAGGGGTAGGGAGTAGAATAAGGGGGGAGGGAAGGAGAAAGGACATAGGGAGGGATGAGAAACAAATTACCAAGGAGGAGATAAGCGAAGCCATAGACAGACTTAAAAGAAATAAAGCGGCTGGGGGGGATGGGATGGAAGGGGAATGTTTAAAATATGGGGGGGAGGTGGTGAGGGATGAAATGTGGAAAATTGCGAATTTGGTGTGGGAGGGGGAAGGGTGGCCAGAAGAGTGGAAAACGGGCTTAATAGTTCCAATTGTAAAAAAGGGGGAGGGAGGGAAGGTGGAAGATTATAGGGGGGTAACTCTGATGCCTGTCGGGTATAAGGTGTATGCGGAGGTGGTTAGGAAAAGGTTGGAAGAAGTGGTGGAAAGAATGGGGTTAATTCCGCATAATCAGACAGGATTTAGGGAAGGGATGGGGACGGTAGATAATATATACGCATTAAATTTTTTGGTAAACAGAAGCATTAAAAAGGAGAAAGGTAAATTAGTGGCGGTGTTTGTTGATTTTAAGGCGGCCTTCCCATCGGTTAACAGGGGGATTTTGTGGAAGACTTTGAGAGATTTGGGTATAGGGCAGGGGTTTATAGAGAGAATTAAGGAATTTTATGAGGACACCAGGGAAAAGGTTAAAATTGGGGAAGAGTTGGGGGAGGAGTTTTGGTTGGGTAGGGGGTTAAGGCAGGGCTGCCCCCTTAGTCCAATCTTGTTTAATTTGTTAATGGCTGACTTAGAGGAGAAAATGGAAAGAAAAGGTAAAGGGGGAGTGATTCTGGGAAAAAGACGTGTGTATGTACTAGCGTATGCGGATGATGTAGTGTTGATGGCTGAGAATGAAAGAGGGATGAAACTGTTGATGAAAGAATTTGAAGGATACGTCAGAAAGAAAGATTTATGTGTGAATGTGGAGAAGACAAAAGTGGTGAGATTTAGAAGGATAGGGGAGGTGGAGGAGGTGGAATGGAAGCTAAATGGAAGAAGAGTGGAAGAAGTGAATGAGTTTTGTTATCTGGGTTATTGGTTTAATTGGAACGGGGAGCAAGAGTTAAATATTGAAAGAAGAATAGAAAAAGGGGGAAGGGTGATGGGACAGGTATGGGGAATTGGGGAGAGGAGATTTAAGAATGATTGGAAGAAGCGTGTATGGTTGTTTGATGCTTTGGTATGGGCGGTGATTAGTTATGGAGTGGAAGTATGGGGGTGGGGTGAGATTGGAAAGGTTGAAAGTTTGCATGAAAGGTTTTTAAGATGGACTATGGGGGTAGATAGGAATTGTCCGGGATACATGTTAAGGGAGGAATTGGGAAGGGAAAAGGTTGTATTGAGGCAAAGGAAGAGGGCAATGGGATTGGAGGAGAAGTTGGAGCTGGGAAGAGGGAGTGACATCGCGAGAGAGTGTTTGAGGATGGTTAAGAAAGGGAAAGCAATGAGAAGGAAAGATATTCCAAGATGGGAGAGAGAAAGAGGAGATGCGTTGGAGGAGGGAAGGAGATGGGGCGGAAATGAGAGGGAGGTGATGGAGGGTTGGAAGAAAAAGGATGAGAATGAGAGGTGGAGCAGGATAGTGGAGTCAAATATAATAGATGGTATAGGATGGTGAGGGGAGAGAAGGAGCCGGGGTATTTAGGAAAAATGAAAAAGTATGAAAGTTGGAATAGATTGTGTAGGTTTAGAATGGGTGAAGGAGTGAAAGAGTGTAGGTATTGGATGGATGATGAAGAGAAAATGTGTAGGATGTGTGGGTTTCAGGTAGAAGATTGGAAGCATGTTTTGGAGGAATGTATGGGGGAAATTGAAGTAGGAGGGGTGGAGGGAGGGATGGGGGATAAAATTAAGTGGATTTTGGATGAGAATGGGAAAGGGGAAAAATGGATAGAAAGATTAGAAAGAATGAGAGAAGAGAGAATGTATTAGGGCCGATAAAGGGAGGGGTTTTTTGTATTGGGGTAAGGCAGTAATGCTTAAATATAAAAGGTAGTTTGTAAAGTTTTTAAATTTTGACGAAGCCAAAAAGGGCAAATTGGAACGGGAAACGGAAACCCGGTGCACTGGCGGATTGCGATTAGTAGATATAAGTAGAGCGTATTAAGTTTAGTTGTAAGTGAAAATGTATTTTAGTTTTAAGTAGAGGATGTGTATTAGGGAGTCTCGAACCCTGCGTGAGCAGGGAGAGTAAATAAAGATAATTATATATTTTTTTTACAATAATATAATATTATTTTACTAATATTTTTATAAGAAGATTTAAAAAAAAAATAAGTATATTTTGTACGATCATTAATCATTTTTTATTCAACAAAGAGATTTATTCTTTTTACATACACATTTTGTTTTATATAAAAATAATAATACTGTTGACAATATTTATTACATTACAATCATACTACAATATACATTAATAATAATTATAAAAATATAAAGGATATAATATTATTTTTCTCTTTTTAACTTATATTATAAAAAAATACTTGGTATTCTTTTCCTGATCCTGACTCTGCGCTTTAATTATTTTTTAATATTATTAATTAATAATAAAAAGCAAACAATTTTTTTTTTTTTTTAAATTGATAAAAAAAATCACTCACTTAAGTGAAATCAAAACGAATGAAAATATTAAAACGAATAATAAACAGAATAAACTGATTTTCTTACAAAAAAATATATGTCGAAATTTATATTGCTTTCGTCTGAAGTATTCTTTTCCTGATCCTGACTCTGCGCTTTAATTATTTTTTAATATTATTAATAATAATAAAAAGCAAACAATTTGGTTACTAAAAAAAAATTGATAAAAAAATCACTCACTTAAGTGAAAAAATCAAAACGAATGAAGATATTAAAACGAATAAACAGAATAAACTGATTTTCTTACAAAAATATGTCGATCTTACAAAAATATGTCGAAATTTATATTGCTTTCGTCCGAAGTATTCTTTTTCTGATCTTGACTTTGCGCTTTAATTATTTGTTAATATTATTAATAATAATAAAAAGCAAACAATTTTTGTAAGAAAATCAGAATGTTTTTTTACTAAAAAAAAATTGTTAAAAAAATCACTCACTTAAGTGAAATCAAAACGAATCAAAATCAAAATATCAAAACGAATAAACAGAATAAACTAATTTTATCTTAGTTCGTCTGAAGTATTCTTTTCCAGATCCTGACTCTACGCTTTAATTATTTTTTAATATTATTAATAATAATAGAAAGCAAACAATTTTTGTAAGAAAATTAGAATGTTTTTTTACTAAAAAAAATTGTTACAAAAAAATCACTCACTTAAGTGAAATGAAAACGAATCAAAATCAAAATATCAAAACGAATAAACAGAATAAACTAATTTTTTCTTACTTCGTTTGAAGTATTCTTTTCCTGATCCTGACTCTGCGCTTTAATTATTTTTTAATATTAATAATAATAAAAAGCAAAAAATTTTTTTACTAAAAAAAAATTGATAAAAAAAATCACTCACTTAAGTGAAATCAAAACGAATCAAAATATCAAAACGAATAAACAGAATAAACTGATTTTTTCTTACTTCGTCTGAAGTATTCTTTTCCTGATCCTGACTCTGCGCTTTAATTATTTTTTAATATTATTAATAATATATATATAATAAAAAGCAAACAATTTTTTTTCTAAAAAAAAATTGATAAAAAAAATCACTCACTTAAGTGAAATCAAAAAGAATGAAAATATTAAAACGAATCATAAACAGAATAGACTAATTTTTTTCTTACAAAAATATGTCGAAATTTATCCTTTAAAGTGCTAAGTGTTGAAAAATCACGCTCAGTGCTAACCCCGGTCTGTCAGACCGCTATTCCCTTTTGACAGTTTTTTAGTCATTTATAATTTTTAAAAGACAACTATTATAAATATTTTTTACTTTTTAACAAAAAAAGTCATTTCTGTATTATGCATTTATTTATTTTATTTATTTTATAAATGCAGTCTATGAGAACTGTCAGTAGAACTAGCTGCGCGTCAAGTTGCGCAGACGTAACTCATGGGAATATACTGGAATATACTTTCACTTAAAGCTAACCCGGTCTCACAGACCGCTATACTTTAAATATTTATTTATATTACAAAATTTAAATAATAAAAATTTTTGAAAAAGTTGTCTCCTAACAGATTTTCATAAAATATGAAGCTACTAAAAAGTTTAAGTTCTTATTATACTTTGAAAAAAAGTTACAAGCAAAGAAAATTTTAATAGCGGTCTGCCAGACCGGCATAGCACTTTAAAGGTTATGTTGCTTTCGTCTGAAGTATTCTTTTTCTGATCCTGACTCTGCGCTTTGTTACTGTCATCGTCCATTCTTGAAATCTGAAAAGAAACATTACATTTAAAAACAATTTGTTACATTTCAAATACAATTTATTTTTTAAAAAAAATTTCGTTATTTTTTATAATATATTTATTATAATACACTACCGTCCGTAAGTATCAGGACGCCCCTTTTTTCATGAGTGGAAAAATGCTTAAAACGTAAAAAATAAGAATGACAAAAATTTTTTGTATTTTTTTCCTGAAAACTAATGAAATTATGAAAAGACTGTCACCTGATCGAAGAATTTTCGTTGACTATTCTGTCAGATACAGAAAAAATACTGGATTTTGCATGCTTTTCGTAATTTTTTAATTTCTCGAAAACTAATTAACTTTTTTTAGCGCTCTTGGTCTTGTTTCAATCTCTATCCAATGTAGAATCTAAATTAATTAATGGTATTGTGATATAAATTTTTCCAAAAAAATTTGAAACTGTGAAAGTCGGATAAAAAAATTTTGAAAAACAGATTGACACTTTTTCAACAAAAGAAACTTTTTTTTAAATTAAATAATTAAGTAATTAAAAAGCTTTTTTGAATTTTAGTATATCTATTAAATGAACATATTTTACATTGACCTTTTTGACACTTTAATATTCATGATAAATTTTTGAATTTTTTTAATCCTACTTTTACGGTTTCAAATTTTTTTGAAAAAATTTATTTCACAATACCAGTTAATAATTTGGATTCTACATTGAATATAGATTAAAACAAGACCAAGAGCGCTAGTAAAAGTTAATTAATTTTCGAGAAATTAAAAAATTACGAAAAGAATGCAAAATCCAGTATTTTTTCTGTATCTGACAGAATAGTCAACGAAAATTCTTCGATCAGGTGTCAGTATTTTCATAATTTCATTAGCTTTCAGGAGAAAAATACAAAAATTTTTTGTCATTCTTATTTTCTACGTTTTAAGAATTTTTCCACTCATGAAAAAAGGGGCGTCCTGATTGATACTCACGGTCGGTAGTGTATATTAATATATATAATAAAAAAATAAAATTGTATATATTTACTCTATTAAAAGTATTATTTAAAAAAAAATCGTTATTTAAATTTTATTATTAAAAAAATTTTTTTGGCATTTAAAATGTTTTTATTTAAAAATTGTTTGTTATTTGAAATTGAAATTTTTTTATATATATTATAATTAATATAAAAAAAACTGTTGTTTATTATATTTTTAATAATTATTTAAATTCTTAATTATTGTTTGTAGAAATAAATTTTTCGAATTTTTTTAAAAATATAATAAAATTTTTTAAAAAATTATAATAAAAAAATTATTACGTTATAATAACATTATCAGAATATTTTTTTAGTAATTAATAAATTATATTTTTGTTTATAAAAAAATATATACATACCTTCGAGATAATCGTGTTTTTAACCACATCTGAATATTTTCGCCGGTTCGAATTTAAGGATGATTTTTCAGCAGGAGATAATTTTTTTTCGCCAGTTTTGGAACTTTCTCCATTGCAAGTGGCCAAAGGAGGAGGAATGGCTTCAGGTTTGTTGTTGTTGTTTATACTAATATTGTCCTTTTCCTTTAATAAAATTTTGTGGTAGCCGAACCGAATGGCATACAAAGATAATCCCTTTACATTTATTACTTTTATGTTCTCTCTGTTCGGAACTTGCAAAATGATCGTATTAAAATCGTTGCTCCTGAGTCGCCCTTGCACTTTCACTGAAGCTCCAGCTGGTATCGGCTCATCGGTATCAAATGTTGGAACATGAATGGGAAGACGGTAGTATGAATCGGTAATTGCACCACTTCCGTAGGTCGAATTATTCGAAACTATTTTTTCAATAGGTGTTCGAACATACCCATCGATTGCTGTTAAAAAAATTTCTTTTAAATATAAATTATAATATTAAAAAAAAAATTTCATAATATATAATATAATAATAAAAAAATAGTCTTCGAACTCTATAATTTTCTTTTATTTAGTAATTTATAAAGATTTTTATTCAATTTTCTTTATTATATAAATATATATTTTTAGCAAAGAAAAGTATCTTTAAATATTTAAAAAAAAATATTCAGGGTGTCTACTGAAAATATGACTTAAAATTCCAGGATATTTTCAGGACATTCCAGGACAGATTTCTTATTTTTCCAGGACATTTATATATGTAACAGGGTTTCCACAAGTTAGGAAAGTCAAGGAATTCAGGGAAATTAGAATTGGTCAGGGAAAAGTCAGGGATTTTTTTACTAAAGTACTGGAAAAAATTAAATTTTTAGAATTTATAGGAAAATTCTGAATTTTGGTGTCTTTTTTGTTTACCTTATAAAATATACCAAGAATTCTAATACAAACCCTTCAATTTTTTCTATTTTTGATTTGACAACAATTTCTCTTTAAATAACTTCGCATAAATTCAATTATGTTCAAAAATTTTTAAAAATTCTCGTCAAAATTTAAATTATCACCATAAAAAATTGAATTCTTCTCCAAAAAATTCAATTATTTTTTCAAAAAAATTTAATAAAATTCTTGGCAAATTTCATTTATTTTTAAAAATTTTGCTCATTTCAATTATTTTTGATATCTACTATTTTAATAAAATTTTTCAAAAAAATTCTATTATTTTAAACAAAAAAATTTAACAGGAATACAATTATTAAAAATTTTTTAATGAAGTTTCTTAAAAGATTCAAACATATATAAAGAAAATTGTAAAAAATAGTCTTATAGAAATTCAATTATTTCAAAAAATTTATTTAAATAAAATTCTTTTAATAATTCTATTATTTAAAAAAAATGTTGACAAAATTTTTTGCAAGATTTAGTTCATTAAGTTGCAATTTTAAAAAAATTTCCCGTACAATTTAATTGTTTTCAATAAATTTCTTCTTAAGAATACAATAATTTTCACATAAATACATTTTTTTATAGGAATTCAATTGTGTTTAAAAGAATTTAAATAAAATTCTTTGCTAGAAATCAATTATTTTCTTTCTTGAGAATTCAATTTATTTTTAAAAATTTTGATAAAATGCTTTATAAAAAATTTGAAAAATAAAATCGGTTATACAATACAATTATTTTTCGTAAAATATAACATTTTTTCTAGAAATACAATTATTGTCAAAAATATTTGTAAAACTCTTTAAAACAAGTCAATTATTTTCCTAAAAAAATAAAAATTCTTTAAGCAATTCAATTATTTAAGAAATTTTAATAAAATTCTTCCCAAGAATTCATTTTTTTTTAAAAAATAAACATTTTCACAGGAATTTTTTATAATTATTAAAAAATTTTTTTTTTTAATTCTTTGTCAGATTTCAATTATTTTTAATTTTTTATTAAAATTCTAGACGGAATTTAATTAAAAAAAAATTTTTTTTTAATTCTGAAAAATTCAATTATTATATATATTTAAAAAATTTGAATATAATTCTTTACAAGAAATTAATTATTTTTGTAAATAATAATATATTTCTCTGGAAATCAATTATTATTTTTAAAAATAGAATTATTCACAGGAATTCGATTCTTTAAAATTTTTTAAATAAAATTCGTTTTCAGGAGTTCAATTATTTTCATAAATATAGAAAAACTTATCGCAGAATTGTAATTATTTTTTTTATAAAATTTTAAATAAAATGATAGAAAATTGCAATTATTCTTACACAATTTTGTTTTTAAAAAATCGCCGATAGAATTAAATTGTTATTAAAAATTTTGATTTATAAAATTCTTCATAAAAAGTCAATTTAAAAAAAAATTCAATTAATTTTTGTATATATTTAAATATAATTGAATTCTCGGGAAATTTTGTAATAGAAATTGATTATTAAAAAATGAAATTCACTTAAAATGTTAAATTATAAATAAACAATTTAATAATAAAAACATTATATATAGCGTGAATTTTTAAAAATAATCCCCAGCAGCACGTAATATTGGGAACATTCCAGCAATATGCCACGACATTGAGGCAATATTGGTAATGTTAAGGCAATGTTCTCAATATCGCTGTAATATTACGTGCTACTGGGGATTGAATTTTGAAAAGAGTTGAAATTACAATCTTTGAAAATTTGAATTTTTAGTTACAATATTCTTATTAAAAATAAAATAATGATTTTATTACTTTGTTTCACCTTAAATTTCTTCATGTTTTATATTAAATAATATTCTCATAAGTTATTGAATTTTAAGAATCTTAATTCCTATATAAAAATAATATTGATTAAATATTATTTTTAATTTAAAAAGAAGTTATTAATGTTCTTTATGGTGATGGAAAAAGTAAAAATTTTTTCTGGAAAAAAATCAGGGAACAGTCAGGGAAAAACAAAAAAAAACGCTTTGTAATATTATTTCATATTACGATTAAATTAAAATAATTTAAATTAACCTACTTGAACAAAAATATTTTTTTTATTATAAAAAGAGTTAAAAACCAATATTGTAGATATTAGTTTCTTTACTCAAAATGACAAATTAAAATTATTTTTTGATGTATCAAAAAATTATTTTTTAAAATTTTTTAGTAAAATTTTTAAATTATTGAAAATTGAATAAATTATTGAAAACTGAAAAGCAAAAAATGGAAAATTCAAGAAAAGAATAATAAAGATAAAGAAAAAAATAATAAAGATGAAAATACTTACCAACCAGTTTTCCTAGAGAATTGGCAATATCCACAAAAGTTATTCCTTCGTAGACAAGTTCCTCATCTTCAATAATTACTGACCCCAATAACTCGATTGTTGTATGTTTTTGAATTGAAATCTCGATGTCCATTAAATTGTTTTCTTTATTTCTGCTTAAATGTACAACGGATTTGAAAGCAGGACCTGTGGCCTTGAAATTCTGACGATCTGTAAACAAAATAAAGAATCAAGAAAGATTAATTTCATTTTTTAATTTAAAATTTTTAGTTATATAATAAAAAATTGCTTTCCATTTTTTCTATATTAATTAATATTATTAATATTTTGATATATTAATATTAATATTAAGAATTTATTTTATTAAAAAAAAAGTAAATTTTAAAATTTGTTTACTTGTTTTAAAACAGCTCCCTCATACTCCTGTTTCCTGGGAGCCCAAAATAAGATTCGGACTAATCGTCCACTGAGGTTGCTTAAAATACACCTGAAAGGTGTATTATCATTTTCCGGAATACCACTTGCAGCTTCAAATCTCTGTGTCCTTCTTCTTAGTAGTGGATCCAAACGAATTATAACCCCTGTCAATGAACTGTAAAAATATATTTTTTTAATTTATTATTTATAATTATATATATTTTTTTATATTATACATAATATTTTTAATATAAATATGTATATATATTATAATATATATTGTAATTAATTATTCATTATTTTATTATTAATATTATTTTATTTTTATTATAAAACATTTATTATAAAAAATTTTAATTTCCATAAAATTTTCCAAAAAAAAATTAAATTATTTACAAAAATTTATAATAAAATTCGTTGCAATAATTCAATCATTTTCATAAATAATAAAATTCTTCACCTAATTTCAATTATTTTTAATACAATTTTAAATAAATTCCTCAAAAAATAAAATTATCTTCAACAATTTTTTTTAACAATTAAATTAGGTACATTTCACAAATAATGAAATTCTTTGCTGAAATTCAAAAATTTTCAAAATTTACATTTTTAACAAGTTTTCAAAAGAATATAATTATTTAAATAAAATGTGGCTTCCGTTTCCGGTGCTAATTGAGAGTACACGTGTTTACGCGGTAGTGTCGATTTTTTTTTTATTTTTTAGAGGATTATTGTGAAGGGAGGGTAAAGTAAGTGATAAAAAGTGTGCAATAGTGTGTGAGCTATAAGTGGTAAAAAAAGTATATGTGAGTGAGTAGCAGTATAAGTGAGAAAAAGGTAAAAGAGTGAACGTGGTGAGCGAGTGTAAGGTTAGAAAGTGTGAGTGTGGTGGGAGATTGGGTGGCAAGGGGAGGAATAGTAAGGGGGTAAGGTAGGGAGATGTCACTGTGGGTGACTCCGCCTAAGAATAAGGAAAAGATAGAGTCGGTTGCGTCTGAGAACGCGGAGACAAGGACTAGGAAGGCAGGTTTGTCAAGTGAGATAGTGGGTGTGGAGACTAAAGGGGAATCCACAAGTGAAGCAGGTAGCGATACCGCTGTGTTTGATTCACCGAGTAAAGAGAAAGTAACCAAGCAAAAAGCGGACCGCGGAAAATCAAAAGAGGAAAAGGACCCAAGGGGTAGGAAATCGAATAAGGAAATAAAGGAAAGGGGGGTAAGTGTTGAAGAAGTGAGTTGTATGAAAAATTTTATAGAAAAAGGGGGAAAGGGAAAGAAAGAAATGGAAAGGGTTAATCAACGAAAGGAAGTAGAGAAGGAAGGGACGAATGAAGATCGGCGTTTCGATGAGATCATGGGGATGTTAAAGAAAATGGGGGAAGATTCGAGAAAAGGGTTGGATAATGTGCGAAAGGAATTGAAGGAGACCAGGAAAAGAGATGAAGACAGAAGCATGAGAATGGATAAAAAGATGGAAGGTGTCTGGGTGGAAATGGCAAAAATTAGAGAAATGTGGACAAGATATGAGGAGGAGTGGAGAAAGGAAAAGGATAATGTTTGGGAAAAGCTGAGTAGTTTGGAAAGGGGCATAAAAGATAAAGAGGAAGAAAGGAATGAAGAGGTAAGAAAAATAGAGGAGAGGATCGAAGGATTAGAGGGATTGGAAAGAAGGGTGGAAAGTTTGGAAGAAAGAGAGGAAGCTGAAGGCATAGAAGGGATACAGGGATTAAAAATGGAGGTAAAGGAGCTTAGAAGGCAAATGGAATTCGTAGAGAGGGAAAAAAAGAGGAAAAAAATTGTAATAAAGGGAATAAGGGTAGAAAGAAGGAATGGGAGAGAGAAGGTTGAAGGGGTGTTAAACGGGATAGGGGTAAAAGTGAATATTAAAGAGGTGAAGGCATTAGGTGGGGAGGATGAAGAGGGTAGGGTACGGATGTGGATGGTGGAGTTGGGAAGCGAGGAGGAAAAATGGGAAGTCATGAGGGCAAAGAGCAAATTAAGGGGTACGGAAATACGAATAGATGAGGATAAAACGAGAAGGGAGAGAAATATAGGTAGGCTGCTATTGGGAAAGGCATGGGAGGCGAGAAAAGAAGGGAGTACAGTAAACTGGGGGAGAGAATGTTTGTGGATTAAGGGTATAAAGTGGGTTGTAAAGGAAGGAACGGAAGAGGTGGTGGAAGAAAGAAGAGAGAGGGGGTTTGGGGTGAAAAGAGTCGAGAGAGAGGATATAGAAGGGGAGAATCCGGAAGCTTCAAATTAATATTCTGGAATGTGTCGGGTTTAAATAATAAAGAGGAGGGTTTTTGGAGAGATTTGAAAAAATGGGATGTTATAATTTTGAGTGAAACATGGGTGGAGGGGAGGGATTGGGAGAAAACAAAGAAAAAATTACCGAAAGGGTATAGATGGACAATGCAGGAGGCGAAAAGGGATCACATAAGGGGTAGAAGCTCTGGAGGGATGATTTCGGGGGTAAAGGATAATATTAAGGAAATTGAGAGCAAAGAGGAATGGAGAAAGGAGGATAGTATGGTAAGAAGAATTAGGGTTGGGGGACAGATTTTGAATGTGATGGGGATTTATAGAAGAAGGGGGGATAATAAGGGTTGGAAAGTGGTAGAGGAATGGATGGAAAGAGGGAAAGATGAATTAACTATAATTGGGGGGGATTTTAATGCATGGACGGGAGAGTTAGGTGGGGGAGATTGGAATCCGGAAGAACAACAATATCAAAGGAAATCGAAACATAAGGGGGTAGATAAAGAGGGTAGAAAAATGTTAAATTTAATAAGGGAGGGTGGTTGGTCGATTTGTAATGGGTGTACAAAGGATGACATGGAGGGAGAGCTTACGTTTGTGGAAAAAGGTCACACGGTTATTGATTACGTAATAGCTGATGAAAAGACGAAAGAGATAATAACGAAATTAGAGGTAGGAAATGAGTCAGATTCAGGTCATTTCCCACTGATAGTTGAAGTAGAAGGGCCAAGGGAAAGAATGGAAAGAAAAAGTGCAAGGCCAACAGGGAAGGATAAAATGGGAAAGTGGGACTTACAGAGGCTGATGGACTTTGAAGGGAGGGTTAAGGAGAAAAGTAGTTATTTTGAGGAGGGAGGAGGAGTAAATTATAGATGGGATAGATTAAAAAGAGTGGTTGGCGAGGTAAAAAGGGAAATGAAGAAGGAGAGAGAGGGAAAAATGGGAACCAGAAAGGGATGGTGGGACGAAGAGTGTGAGAGGAGTAGAAAAGGGTTGAGAGAATGTATAAAAAAGTGGAGAAAAGGGGTAATGAGTAAAAAAGAGTATAATAAAAGGCACAAGGAGCACGGGAGGTTGGTAAAAAAGAAAAGGGAGGAAGGTAAGGAGCGTTATTTAAAGGAGGTGGAAAAGGCAATTGAAGAGGGTAGGGAATGGGATGTCATTAATGGGGAAAGAAAGAAAGGAAGAGAAATAAATAAAGAGATTAAGATGGAGGATTGGACGAACTATTTTAAGGGATTAAGTGGGGGAATGGGACACAGAATAAGAGGAGAGGGAAGAAAGAGAGAAGTAGAAAAGGAGCAGGCAGAGATAAGCAGGGAAGAGGTGAATGAGGCGATACAAAGGTTAAAGAGAGGGAAGGCAGCAGGAGAAGACGGGATGGAGGGTGAATGTTTAAAATTTGGGGGGAAAGTAGTAAGAGAGGAGATGTGGAGGATCGTGAATATGGTGTGGAGTGGGGAGGGATGGCCAGAAGCATGGAAGACAGGGTTAATAGCACCGATTATAAAAAAGGGAGAAGGAAAGAGAGTGGTAGAGTACAGGGGAGTGACGTTGATGCCAGTTGGTTATAAAGTGTATGCAGAGATAATAAGAAGGAGATTAGAGGAAAAGGTAGAAGAGCTAGGATGCATACCACATAACCAAACTGGCTTCAGAAAGGAAATGGGAACGATGGACAATATTTACGTCCTGAATTATTTAGTTAATAGGAATTTGGGGAAAAGTAATGGAAAGTTGGTGGCTTCATTTGTGGATCTAAAAGCGGCATTTCCATCAGTAAACAGGGGAATTTTATGGAGGGTTTTAAGGGAGAGGGGTATAGAGGATGGGTTGGTGGAGAGGATAAAGGAGCTATACGAGGACACCAAAGAAAGGGTAAAAATTGGGGAAAGTTTGGGACGGGAATTTTGGTTGGGTAGAGGGCTAAGGCAGGGCTGCCCCCTGAGTCCAATATTGTTCAACATGTTGATTGCGGATCTGGAAGAAAGAATGAGTAAGAGAGGGAAGGGTGGTGTGATTTTAAGGAATGGAAGAATATATACTCTAGCATATGCGGATGATGTGGTTTTGATGGTTGAGAATGAAAGTGGAATGAAATTATTAATGAAAGAGTTTGAGAAATATGTGAGAGAGAAAGATTTAAGTGTGAATGTGGAGAAAACGAAAGTGGTAAGATTCAGAAAAAAGAATGATAAGGAAAAAATAGAATGGAGGATGAATGGGAAGAATGTGGAAGAGGTGAATGAGTTTTGTTATTTAGGGTATTGGTTTATGTGCAATGGAAGGCAGGATCTGAATGTGGCTATGAGAGTAGAAAAGGGGGGCAAAGCTATGGGTCAGGTATGGGGAATTGGAAAAAGAAGGTTTCAGGATGATTGGAAGAAAAGAGTGTGGTTGTTTGATGCGTTGGTATGATCGATAATAAGTTATGGAGTGGAGGTATGGGGATGGAGTGAAATAGGAAAATTGGAAAGTATGCATGAGAAATTCTTGAGATGGACGATGGGGGTAAGCTGGAATTGCCCGGGGTATATGGTGAGGGAAGAATTGGGTAGGGAGAAGATGGTCACGAAACAGAGAAGGAGAGCGAGGAATTATGAGGAAAAACTGGAGCAAGGAAGGGGAAGTAAAATAGCAGGGATGTGTTGGAGACTAATTAAGGAAGGAGAGGGAGGGTGTAAAAGGTGGGAAAAGGAAAGAAAGAAAGCATTAAGGGAAGGGGGGAAAAGTAGAGAAAAAGGGAAAGAAATAATAGAGATTTGGGGTAAATGTGATAGGGAGGAAAGATGGAAAAAGGTAATGGAGTCCAGGTACAACAGATGGTACAAAATGATAAAAGGAGAGGGATTGCCGAAATATTTGGGGAGGAAGATGAAGTATGAAAAGTGGAGTAG